GTTAAACATTGGAACAGGCTGCCCAGGGAAGTGGTTGAGTCACCATCCCTGGAGGTATTTAAAAGACAGGTAGATGAGGCGCTTAGGGACATGGTTTAGTGGGCATGGTGGTGTTGGGTTGATGGTTGGACTCGATGATCTTGGAGGTCTCTTCCAACCTTAATGATTCTATGATCAGACTTCAAGTAACCAAATCCTGCAGACTGTTTTTTACTCGGTCTCTAAACCTTTTTGGGGACTTCAGACAAAAATTACTACAACCACATCAGTAAATAGGTGAGTGACACTGGTTCCAGCAACCGAAGCCCTGCCCTGAGGAGGGGATCCAGTGTGGCGCTAATGCTGACAAGCAGAAAGAAAAAAAGCGTAACCCCATCCCTGTCAGATGAAAGCCCATAGCACCCAAAGCGGAGGAACGATCTTTGTAACACCGGGAAGAAGCTTTTCTAAGATAAAATAAGGCTACTTTGGTCTGTGCAAGGGAAGTGAAGCCAGGAGTTAACTGATGAGGCAACCAAAGAACCGGCTAATCAGTGCAATATACAGAGCTGTCACAGAGAAGCAGCCAATGCTCAGGCTATTTTATTCTACCTGTGGCTGCTGCAGCACCAAGATGCTGTGTCCTGTGTCCGGCATGAAGTGCCTTGCTCCATCGCTCTCTTTGCCCTGAGGCCTGGGAGGACTTCTTCATGCTGGCTTGTCAGCATGTCCCAGGGAAACAATCTCTTCTCTGGCGCAAGCTGTGAAGGCTTCATTGCCGCTCGGGAAGCGCAGATATTGGCAAATTTTACCTTACACACAGTTTGTCAGAAACTTTCCTACTGACGTGCCTGCTGCCTCCCCTCCCCTGTGCTGCAGTGGGCGGGCAGGTATCGGTGCTGCATCATGGCCCTGAAACCCAGGGACCCTGCAGCCACCCACCGCTTCCCCACAGAAAACACCACCACCGGGCAATTTTAAATCCCTCTTCCATCACTCCCCCTTGCTTCTCCCAAATAATCAAGGAGCATACATCTTGTAGCCCCCTCCTTTCCAAGCCCCCCAGCTATTTCAATAAAAGCATGCCATGCCAGTTGGGCAGGCTGTCTCCTCCTTGGCACAGTGCAGAAACCTGGCACAGATCTGCCTCCAGAAAGCAGGATGTGGGGAGGGGGGATACTGGGAACCATGTAAGCTCTGCAGCCTAACAAACCTGGCGCCAAACTGGGATTGCAGGTTGTATGTCTAGGCCAGTATGCCCTCTGGCAAGTCATGTCTCTGTTCACTCCTGCTTCATCTTTTGCTCTCTGAATCATAAGCTCTTCAGGGCAAGAAGTCCTCCCACAGCCCTCCCTAATGATGACAAGGACCTGATGGCCAGCAACGAGTCACAGCCACGACTCCCCCGTCCCACACAATGCTGGGGTTCTTTCTAGCCTGTGGCTTCTGCCAAGTGGCCTATTTTCTGCTCTTTTCTGCTTTAAGGGATCGTGCTTGGCCAGCTTACCTCCCATGGTCAGCCACTGCAGGGCTGCATGGCAGCCTGCCCTGGTGCAAGGGCATTGCTGGAAACACATGCCCAGGGGCAGAGGACTGGCAGAGTTACTGGCAGGTAACTCAGAGATCAGCTGTAATGTCAACCCACTCTTCAGTGTGGGTCTATGTGGTGTCTCCACCATGGGACTAGAGAGAGAGTAAACAACACCCTCATGTGAACAGCAAAGCAGCTGCACACACAGCTATAGGCAGAAACAACTTTTGGTTGAGCATCATTCTGGATCCAGTGAGCACCGTCTTGTCTGGATGATCCCCTGTGATGTGAAGACTCTGCTCTAAGCCTTGCTCAGCCAGCAAAACCTCATGAGTGATCAGAACATTGGGGAACCTAAACCAAATGATGGAGGCTGTGCGGTAGACCTCCTTGCTCCTTATTCTGGTTCTTTAATATGGTCCCCACTTTCTTTCCTTAAAACAAGGCCTCCTAGCTCTCCCGAGACGTGCCTTCCCAGTGTGAGCTGCCAAGACCTGCCAGCTAACCTGTTCTTCAAGGGAGCTTGTAATAACTCCACAAAGCCATACTGAACATTACACAGAAGAATAATGAGGTAAATCAAATAGGGCAACGGGGAGAAAGCACACATCTGTCCTCTTGCTGAGCAAAAGGCCCTCTGGGAAGGGTCAGCATTCTTACAGCCAACCGCTGCTGAGCCCCTGTATAGCCCTTACAAGTCACCCTCAGGCATGCCAAGAAGAGATGATACTTGCAAGATCTCAGCAGAAGTTAGGTGCAGGGAGGACAGGCCAGTGAGCTCCAATTTAAACAAATGGCCCAGGTTGCTATGGAAACCTCAAGGATGGAAAAGAAGCACTTTGAAAACAAAACCTAGTGAGGCAGATTTCATATCCACTCTGAAAAGGTTTATGACCAGAAAAGGCAAAGTGAGTGTTAAATGCTTTTTAGCTAAGTCAATAGTAGCAGCACTTGAGAAGGAGGCATGGATTCGCAGCACCCATCATACCTTTTTTATCCCAAACCCCAGGAGAACAGTCTTCTGTACTTTGCCAATACTATGGTATGAAAATTCTGGTTTCTTAACCCCTTCCTGGCATCCCATCTCTGTCTACATTACTATTGTAGCTATAAATTACTGTATGTAGCTATACTAAGCCCATCAGTCATGACAAGTGGAAAATATATAGCTAGAATTAATCTGACACAGGAGGAACGAAATTATCTACGGCTTTAAAGCTAATCAAAATTGAAAATCCTAAAGAGGGTTTTTTTCCTTAAAAAAAAAAAAATACAGCAGAGAAATGATGGAACTTTACTATTGATTTTAAATGGCATGTGCTCAGATCAACCCGGTGTGGCCCAACAGCATAGTACTCGATCAGATATACTCTAACCTCATCAAGAGTTTGTGCTTGAATATTCAAGTATTCTGTGGTTAAATTATTATTGCAAGTAGCATGGAGACAGAGCAATTCCTGACACCAGTATGTTAATTAATAATGTTATTGTTTATATAGGTGTTAAATAAATGAATGGTTATATATTGCTGATAGAACCAGTCGCCCTTTTTTCAGAACAGCTCCATCCCTCCTTACCAAAGACAGCTGTCATTCACCTGCCCCTTATCATCAGGCCTGAGGGCCATTATATTTCAGAAAAAGTGATGGCTATTTTGGAAAAGGGAATCTTAACTGGGATAACTAGTAGACTCCATCTGTTTGAAAGCCACAGACAATGAACAGTTTTGACGAATGCAGTTTTTCAGCTTTTCTTGGAAGAGACACACATACTCTGCTGAAAAATAACATTTCAGAATTAAGAAACAGGAAAAACGTAAACCCACAGTTTCTATCTTCTACATTTAAAAAAATCGTCACACCTGCAGCAGGGAGCATACGAGAGGTAACTAGAGATAAATACGAACAAATGACAATGGGAGCGAGAGGAGGAAAGGAAAAGGCTACGAGAGGCAGTTTGGGAGACACAGGGAATATGGAAAATAAAATTCAGAAGTGCTCGGTAGGCAAAGCAGCTCTTAGCATCTGCTCCGCTACCTCATATGGATGGACTACTCCATGCTTAGACTGGTGAGTCTGGTGATAACAGCAAAAACAACACCCCCAGGCAACCCCCACACCCCTGCCGAATCCTTTGTGCACATATAAACCTTTGTTTTCAGATAAACAATGTATTTTACTTTAAATTAATATCATGAATTCCGAGTTTAAACCTTTTTTCAAAAAGCTGTTGGCTGGGAATATTGTAGTGTCAAAACAGTCCTGGGAAGGAAAAAAGCCTTATAACTGGAAAGTAAATCTTTTGGGTAGCATTTTTAGAAATACTGTTTTCAAATCCATGTAACTAGGGGACAGGTTCCTCCAGCTATCTTTAAGTTAAAGAATGGAACCTAACCATGTATTTACCATTCTAAGTATGTTACCCTCTGCACTTGACTCCAACAGCAGAAACAGCTGAATACTAGCATTAAAGAATTTTCAAGTTGCCTTGGTCTCTATTGAAAAATCTTTAGGTGCCACGAGAACACCAGGCTCAAGACTTCCTAAATCTCACTTCTGCGCACATCAGTTTTGAGAACTGTTAAGACTGCTTGCAGCATTCAGGAACAAATTTCTACCTACAGGAAAAATGTCCCTGCAGAAAGCTCTCCTGAGGAGATGTGGGCTGGAATCTCCTCTGCTCTAAGCCATTTCCTGCTGTCCCGGCAGGCAGGAGGTTGCAATCTACTGCCACCTGGCTAGGTGACTTTTTTGGGAGGAGGTGGGGGGAGGAAGGAAGGACCCACAAGTTCCCGGCTGACAAAGAAACTTGACCTCTACGCCAGCTGTTCCCCTTGCAGCCAGGGCACGCAGGACAGGGGGAGGAATGATGCCATGTGCCTTCTTCTCCACTGTCCACCAGATTTGGATACAAGCAGCAGCACAGTCGACACATGAGAGAGCGCAAAACATAGTAGACACCAGCAAACAAAAGGGTATTGCCCCGAAAGCGCTCTGTGGAATGCAGCATTTCTCTTATAAATCATTTTACTGTTGGGGAGGAAATCTTGGTCTTCTCCCAGATCAAAGGAAGTAAAGAAACTAAACCACAATTTGCTAACACTATAAATTGAAACCAAGAAAATAAGTGAAAAACTGTTCTTCCGCAAGAGTACCAGTCTCCAGGGCCCTACCATCAGCTGCGTGTCACAGCTTCATTGAATTCAAATGAGTTGCAACTTCCATAGGCTGAGGTTTGGGGATTTAAAAGTTTCCCTCTAGCCCCCATTGCCTGCTCTCTATTGCAGCATGACTGCTCTTAACACAGTGCAAATAAATGTAGCTTGTATGAACTGATAAAGGCTAAAGTGTTGCCTTGTGAGAATACCTGGAGAAATTAGCACTGCCTCTTGGTTAAGGAAAACCACTCTCTGTCAGGACTGCCAAACCTGGGCACACATACAGGGATGTGCACAAAGCTCCAGTTACCCGAAGAAAGTAAACGTGAAAGTAAGTGTCTGCCTCCTTCAACACTAATTCTTAGGGGATACGTCACAGAGCCCAGATCTTAGATTCAAATGCAAGGAATTAACATTAAACATACTCCAAAAACGTACTTCTATACAAACTGGGAGGAAAGTGAAGACATTATTAGATAACAAAGTAAGTTTTCTAATAACATTCATTCACTTTAGAAGAATAAGCTATTTCAAAATCTGTATGGTGCTTTAGGTAGAGAAGCTGCTTCTAGAGTTGTTTGATATACAAAGAAAATTATTCTGCCCAATTTCAGAGCACAGGGATAGAAATGGCTCAACAGTCTGCCCTTTACGTCATCAATAACATTAAAACATAGGCATAATTGAGTATTAATAACTTGACTGCTCTCATCAAATAAGAATTTTAAACTACAGCAAATGCTGGCTGAGAAAAGATAGACATTTTCTAAACACCAACTTATTCTTGCACCGAAGAGGGACGCTAGCTTGCCTAACAATGGTAACGTGTTACAAGGCATAGAGTATTTACTCTATGAATCTTTCTGCTCCAGTCGGTACCTCTCAGATCTTTCATGTGCTTTGTGTTCTTTTAAGAATGATCATTGTTTTTTTAACAAACTGTGATTTCGTATCATCTAATAGCACATCATTTCTGAAAAAAAACCAGCACTGTCCACATAACACAGGCAGCTTCTGATTGTCAAAGATCTTCATAACATCGATTCTTTTCCCCATCAGATATTTCACAGAACTCTGTTCCTGTAAGGCCTCCTTTAAATCTGTAGCAATCTGAGGCTCTGGATCTGCTGTGGGTTTATATCCAACAATGCCCAAAGTGCTTCTTCACTTCCAAACTCCATCAGGTTCTGGATAAATGATCCTAAAGGTCAAGTTTATCCGTGCATCTCTAGAATGATATTCCTTAGGCACTCGATGCTGTAAGTGGCATTAGGAAAAAAAGAGAAAGAAAAAAAAAAAGCATGAGCTTAAAATACAGGTAATCAAACAATGTAAAAAAACTTCATTTCCTGTGATGGCTTTTATTAACATTTCTAAACATTTAGGTAAGGCAAAAAGTTCATGTTCTGACTGCTCAGGGCCACTGAAAACAAAAGGTCTTTGTAGATCACTGTAGCCTTGTTAAATTAAGTTGCAGCTTTTTTATATTCCAAGTTCCTAAATTGATTTTCCTCTTTCAGCTGCAGGCTACAACCTTCATTGCTGAACTTTAATGCTGGAACATCTGAGCTGATCCCTATTACATCACTTAGCAGTTGAAAGAAAAGCCATTGTTTCTGTGGGTGCTTTGAAATTCTGAGGCAGAAAGCAATATTAATGTGCTGGGAAACAACTGCATCACTGGAAGCAGAATGTCCCATACCTTTATGGGCGTGCCTCGTGCATTTTTAGAAAACTGCATTGCAAGTAAAGCACACAAACCGTGTCACGGGGTTCTTACCTGCCAATCCTCCTGGGTAGCTCCTTCCATCACCAGCAGAGTCCCGTGATCAAGTGGGATTCTTAGTCTTTCTACGTAAGTATAGTCTCCATTCTCTTCCTAAAAAGAAACATTAGACACTGAAGAAGCGGGCATGTGCATTTGGTAGAAAACCAGTCCTCAAAAGCAGAGTTCAAAAAGCTGGGAGGGCAAAGGAGGAAAGAAAGCTCTCACAAGATCAAGAAGTCTAACTAAACCTCTCTGTCACCGTATTTCATAAAGAGTTCAGGAGCCGAGCATTCTAAGGATGAAAGAAGCCATTGCGTCTCACTGCCTGTACAACACAGGTAAAGTTCAACAACCAGTTCCTGCATCTAGTGCAAAATTCTGGTGCAAGGCTGCGAACCTTTTGGAAACATCCACTCTTGAAATAAACAGTTCTGTGTGGAGATATTCTGCAATAGCCATGCTGATTCCAACGGTTAACCACTTCATCAAAAATACGCATCTTCCTTCTATCAATTTGTCTTGTTTTGGACATTACATGTTGGTATAATATTATCTGCTAGATGAAGAACTTTTCCTATCCAAAAAAATCTCCTTTTCCTATAGTACCTTGTAAAACAAGTTGTCGTAAACTTTATCATCATTAAGCAAAACAGACTGCTAAACTAGAAGACAAATAATTCTCAAACTTTTGTTAAGACTTCAGATTATGTGCAACTCTTTTAAAGCACAAATACAACAACTGGACATAGTAACACTGCAGTATTAGTCTCACACATGCCACATCAGTGGGAATAGCAACTCCCTATTGCTTTGCACTACCCCATCCAATTTTAAAATCAGACTAATACACCGCTAAGTCAAATTGCTCAGGGAAGTCTATTATGCCAACACAGTTCTCCTTGTCAATCATGACAGTAACCTCCTCATGAAATCATACTATGCCTGACACGAACTATCTTCCAGAATGCCATATGGGCAGGTATTATAATGCTCTATGTACTCCTTTAATATTTTCCAATTTTAACCTTCAACAGCTGCAGAAAAAATTGCTGCAAATCTTGAACAACTTCCATTTAACATCTTGCCTACTTAATGCTGGCACTTTGATTATTTCATTAACATTGAAATGTGAATAGAAAAACCAGGATTTCCCCCAAATACAGAATGGCAGTGTATATTTTGCCTTTTACAGATCTCCGTTGCCAACTTTGCAAGCTGTCTAGAAAGAGTGGAAAGCAACTCTCTGAAATGAGGAATTCAGGGAAGTTTCAGATAGGAAATCACCTGCAAAATACAAGGATTATTTCAGAGAGAGAGGGAGTTAGAGAAATATTTTAATTAGCGTTGAAAGGGAGGGGACTCAAGAGGTCTTTTATTTTTAAGTTATAGAAAGCCACAGATAGCTTGAAAGTGTAAAGCGGATAATAAACGTCCTTCACTGAAAAAAAGAGTATGACACGTTCTCAGTCTCTACATCTCTCTAAGTATGGGGTTAACCTTGTTCTGAGTATACTGCATATGGCAAACAGATAGCCGAAATGCATATTTGTTATTGTACCACTGCCTCTAGAAGCAGAGATACTGGCTTTTTTCCAGAGAGATCACCAAACCAGTTATTTGTTCTTGAAAGAAAAGCCAGAAATACACAATTACTACAAAGAGACGAGAAAAAAATAATTAGGGCAGGTCTGAGCTTCTAAAGCATGATGGTGTTCCTGTAAGGGACCATACATCTTAGGCAGTTGCTAAACAAATGCTTCAGATTTTTTATTTTTTAATTAGTTAGGCAGTATCTTCTCTTCTAGTTTCTTGTAATGGCTGGTGGACTCCTAAAATCACACTTGCTGAGTGTTTAGGAGGAGGCAATGCTCAATTATTTCAGACCCAGCTGAAGGCAGCAATTACTCCAGACTCAACAAAATCTTACTACCAGAGTGGCATTTGTCACATTTGTCATGTAAAATGAACTATCTTCCAGAACTATCTTTGGAGGGGGGGTGGGGAGGGAAAGATATGAGAGGTCACAACATAGGTCACTTGTAACAGAGGCAGATTGCAAAGAAGCTAGAAACTGTACAGGACAACTGAGACTTGGAAAATGGAATTATCACAGTAAGATTTAACCCAGCTTGAGGCGCAGGTATAGTTACCTCACACTGACAAAAGTCCAACATTTCTGAAACAGAAACAAACGTTACAAGACCTCCAGGCTTCAGCTGTACGTTAAGTTATTCAGGAAAACTAACAGGACTCTGCACAGACCCGACAGTTAGAAGAAAACATTACCAGGTCATAAAAAGGCAGACACAGTCTTTTGAGAGCCATTAAAAAGACCCAACAGATCCCATCCAACACATTTTACTGCTTTTACAAAAACTCACATTTTCAAAAATCTTAACTAACTTCCTTGAAGCTTAATTCTGCAGTGGCCCAACTTGATGCACGTTTGTCTTTCTAAAGTTCATGGCTCACTGAAAAGCTCAAAATAACGAGGTAAAGTCTCAACTACTGGGAAAATTATGTCTTGGACTTAAAACACCATCCAATTTTCAAAAGAACAACGGGGGGAGGGAGCGGTATAAAAAAGAAGCAGATAGAAAGATGACTGCAAATCCTCTAAAATGCAAAAGAGCTTAGTTGGGATCAAATCAATTCCCAATAATAAAAAGCATCACTTGATATAATTGACTATATACTCGCGCCTTTGCCACTTTCTGTTCATGTCTGGGACTAGAAGTCGCAGTGTGACATAACAAGGCTATTTAATACTGGCAGCACTGGCTGGCAATTCTGGATTTGTGCATTTCTTGGGGATGCCTAAGGGCCCAAGGCTGTGGCAGTGATTAATTAAGCTCACTAAACCTCTAGAATCAGGGAGTGCTGAAGGCACTCACAATCACCTGTAATATATATTCTTTGTAAGGAAAATGCAAAACATTTTTAAGCTTCTATTAAGCTTATTTATCTTGCTCTATTAAAAGCAAGGTGTAATGCCAAAAACATTTTCTTAAACTTCAGAGGAAACAAGAGGAAAATTTCAAAAATAGGTATTATAAACATGACTGCTGATGAAAAGCAGAGAAATACCATTGCATGGCTGTTTTCTATTTCACAGGATTACATCATTTCACTTTGTGGATTGACAAGTGGAGGACTTATTTTTATCTCTTGCTCATCTTTGTCCTGGTTTCAGCTGGGATAGAGTTAATTTCCTTCCTAGTAGCAGGTACAGTGCTGTGTTTTGGATTTTGGATGAGAATAATGTTGGTAACACACTGATGTTTTAGTTGTTGCTGAGCAGTGCTTACACTAGTCAAGGACTTTTCAGCTTCTCATACTGCCCTATCAGCGAGGAGGCGTGGTGAGCGATTGCATTGTACACCGCTTGCTTTGTATATTCTTTTATCATTATTATTGTTATTTTCTTCCTTTTTTGTCCTATTAAATTGTGGTTATCTCAACCCACGAGTTTTACCTTTTTTCCCCGATTCTCCCCCATCCCACTGAGGGGGGAGTGAGCGAGTGGCTGTGTGGTGCTGGGTAGGGTTAAACCACGGCAATCTTGATTAAAAAGGAATTCTTCTAAGATAAATGATTTAGGAGAAAACATCCTTTTGGTTTAGAAAAGTCAGTATGTAAAAGCAGCATTTACTTTCTGTTTTAAATGGGACATCTCTGAGCTTAGTTTTACTTAAAAAAAGAGATTTTCATGTCAACTGGTTTTGCAGAGCCAGTGAAATTAGACAAAAAGTTTTTACTGTCTTACATGTCGTTACTAACACTGTCCACCAAGTCTCATTTCAGAACTTTTATCTCTAGAGCTGATGTTAGATATACAGAAAATTCAGTTGAGTTTCACAGGTCAAGAAGTTTATGAAGGAGATTTATTCTTGGCATCTAAGGAGGAAGAGACTTTTTTAAAATACTAGTAACAAACACGGAAAGAAATGCATCAGGTAACTTTTATATGGCCACTTCGTAACTCTATATATGTATTACAAAACCAGCTGCTTCCAAGAACAGGTCTAGTAAAGCAACTGTTATGCATCTTAGTATATTAGAATTTTCATAATCTTGAGTTGCACATTTAATACAATCCAGGCTTTACACTGTCCAAGTACACTGGCTAAAACTTTTGTTTTTATCCTTAATTCAAGTAACTACAGTTAATAAGTGAGGAAAGCTCAGCATGAGTTAATGGCAAGCTCTGAATATAAAATCTGTACGTATTCCAGGACTCCATCGAGGTTTTTTTCTTAAAACGGTATCAAAATCAAAAAGGTTAGAAAAACAAAAGATCTAGTATAAATCTATATAAATCACCTAAGTTTGTTTCTTAAGTCTCAGGCAAGTTTATTGAGATAGTAGTAGGAAATGGGTTCTGGATAGTGTGGAAGCATCTTATATTATAAGGAAAAGTAAATGGAAACATCCTGTAGAAGAATGTATAAATAATAATGCAGTTATACATGCAAATGATGCAAAATTATTTTCAAAGGCTAAAGTCAGCAGCCCTCATGGAGAGTGCTGGCTCCTAATCTTCTGCTTTACTTATTTACCTATTACCAAGACAATTATCCTTACAAAACTTCTGATCTCTTATTTTTCAGACTCCCATCTTGCTTGTAGCCCTCTTTTCCAGTTTACTCCTCTACCACCAGCTGTGGAAACACCCTCCTCCTCCAACAAAGCGGTCTCATCTATCAATACTTCTGCATTTTTACCTGTTTATTCTCACTACCTCTGACAAAATCCTCACTGCAGCTGTTTTCTTTACAGATTCAGTAAGAATGAATATCAGTCATATTGCCCTTTCCTCATGTAATCCACTTGCCCGCCTACATAGGACTATCTTTAAACTCCCTCAGTCTTTCTGCAGCTGACCTAGCAGACTGCAAGTGAGGTAGCTCTAAAGCACTCGCATCTTCTTCTGCTTGTCTATAGCTGCTCAAGTCCTGCCAATACTGGTGGACACCTCCTCCTCCTCTGCAGCCACTGCTGTCTGCAAGTCTCCCTCATGCCAATCTAAATTTCAATCCTCCTCATCCTGATCCAAGCCTCAGTTTGTACTGTGCTCCATATATTCCCACGTTCGTCTTCAATTAGGCCTGTTAGGACATGAAGGGTTATTTTTCTGCTGTTTTCAAAAGTACTAGGAGATGTGTAACTTCTGCTAGAACAGCTACTCAAGGACAGAAGAAAAGGACTGTGTTTTAGTGTTTCATTTGAATGACAGGCCCATCTGAAGGCTCATTCTGAGAACACCACGAACATCCTGCTATTATCTAACACACACGTGAAGCTCCCTCCCTTCCCCAGCACCCATCAGTTTCCCTGGTTACAGATGGAAGAAGAGCAACCTGACAGCTGGCTAGCTCCTTCCACAGTTCACACGGCAGTTTGTTGGACACCTGCACCCAACTGGCCCTTATGGCACCCAGATGTCTGCTACAGAGAAGCTCCCAGTGGGACGTAGGAGCTTAGCAGGACATGAAATATCACCCTTCACCCTTGACCTAACATTTGACACTCAGCTTCCAAAAAGACCTAATCAGATAACATGGCATTGTCACACTGAGTTGAGCGGTGATAAGCAATAGTAAAAATGGTAGTGAGACTGTATCAGAAAGACCCATCTAACACAGTGAAATCAATTCCTCTGGAGTAGGACAATTAAGTCATGTATGAGTGGGACAGGGACCTTGAGGCTGTGTGGAGAACAGGAGGAGGTCACAGTGGTGCAGAGGTAACAAGTATGATGTGGGCAAGTATGAGAGGACTAAACCAATAGACTGTGTGTGAATTGTGTATGAATCACAGCTCTAAAACAAAGCATTCGCCTCTTGGTTTCAGTGTAGGCAGGAGCTACGATGGGGGGGGAACAAGGAGGCAAGAAAAAGTTTAAGTAATTTACTGGAACTAGAAGTAGAAAATAAAAGAAACCATATCACTTCACCGTAGACTTTGAACTACACCAAGTAGGCATCCAAATACCCCTAGAAACCATTTAAAGCAAAGGCAAAATATTGGCTACAACCACACAACTGGTCCAAATAAACACAAAAAGCAGTATTTAGAAGAAAGAATGCTTAAAAACTCCAGCGGGTAAAGTAAAACAGCTTCTGGCATCATGTTAACTTCCATGAAAAGTCTCCTTAATTCCAGTAGGGAATTTGCTCCTGAAATGTATTTGTAGCTTTTTTACACACACTGGGCTGAAATCAGAGTAGGAATTATTTCTACTTATCCACAAGGAATGCTTGTTGATGTAGATTCAAATAGACTATGCATGTCTCTACATTCCTTTAGCTCCTATTATATGATGAACACTTACTCATCCAGTACAGTACTCACCAAAAAGAAAAACAGAGAACAACCTTTCCCTCCCCTCACACTAGAAGAATTTTTGGGAAAAAAATACCACTTGCACCTACGTAACTTTTTTTTTTTTCATTTTTTGCCAAGGAAAAATGCAGAGAAAGGATAAAAAGATTTCCTTTTGTGACAGTTTCAGAATGGCCTATATAAATGCCATCAAATGCCTACCAGACAAATGTCAAAATTCACACAAACATGCACAAAAAACCCCAACCCACCAACATTACTGGTCGTCTTTGCAGTTAGAGAAATAGGATGTCATTCTATAAGAAGTTCATCCACATTTCAAGATATAAGATGGAAAATATTTGTTCGGTTTATGTTAGTATCTGTAGTCTCTGAAGGCTCTGATCTAGTATTCTTCAATAGCACTACAAGATGTTACGTGACTTGTGGTATATACTGTTTTGTACCCAGTACACAATCACACACAGGCAACCGCTTTAGTTTTTTTTTTCCAGTACCATTTATCCACCGTGAGCTTCTACCATAGTATTTCTCACCTTGTATTTTCATTACATCTTTCATCTCAAAATACTTAAAAGCACTTACAAGAACAGAGGGAAATGAAGGCCTCTGAAACTCTAGAATCTGAAATACTAGAATGTTGGCCCTCAAAGAGGTTTAATTTTGGGAGGAAAAGGATTTACTTTCTCTTTGCCTCCTCAGTGAAGACTAACTCTGGAAAACCCGATGTACTGATACTGGCAGATTACAAACCAGGAAAAGCCTGAATGCCTGTGGTGACTGTTAGTCTGAATCCCTTTTCCCTAGACTACATTCCTCTTCCTGTAACTTGCTTTTGAACAAAGTAATGATCAAACTTCAAATACCTACAATCAACTTTAACTTTCTCTTAATGAAAGAGAGAATGCTACATTACAATAGAGTATGAAAATTACTTCTTTGGTGGTACAGCCTGAAAGGTGGTAATTTCCATCAGAGCCTCTTGTAACTCCCACTTGGCAAAGCATCTAGTGTCGCAAGATGCTCTCAGAAAATTGCAGGCTTTGGGAATGTGCAAAGAATACGTAATGTGTGCCATATAATTATTAAGTATGAGTTCCCTTAGGCACAGGATGCAGTTAATAGCAACTTATTCAAAGATCACTCTGCACATGGGAATCATACCTTAGAAAGAGGTATGTCACACTTGCAAAAGGAATACACTTCATACGTAACAAGACTCAGCTAGTCAGAAATATCAGGTCAGAGGCACTGAAGAAAAAAAATTAGGAGAGCTTGAGGGATACATCTATAGAAAAATCATCCATCTCAGGAGCAAAAGGGAAGAAATTGTGCAGTACAGATCAAAGAAGGCAGCCAATTATGAATGGCACAGACTGAATTTCCCCCTTTTCTCATAGTGGGTGTCTTTTCAGAAAACAGAACGAAAAGACATCTTGCTTAAGAACTGGGTTTGATTTTTAAGAGGGAAACTGCAAAGTTTATACTGAAATCTAAGTGGCTTTGATTCTGATCCATCGAAGGGGAACACATGCACTTCTAGAAATTAATCCAAGCACCGTTTACAGTTTCCCAGAGGAATGAACTTTCCAGCTGACATTTTGTTATCATCACAGCATCAAAGATACTTACTCATGCTATGCCCACTGATATAATGCACTGGTTATGTGATCTCATGCTCAGGGACCAGGATTAAATTCACTTCAGACAGCAAAGAAATTACAAATTAGAGAACTGGTGAAAAATACAAATTATTTATTTGTTTTCTGGTTCAAATTCTGACCTTTGCTGTTCACGACTAGGTGACCCAAGGTGACTTCAGTATGTCAGCATACAGTTTTCCAATAGGCTGATAATCATCACCTTTGCTTTCTGCATTACTTACTCAGAATAAATAGCAACATAAGCTGGCAGCAAACTTCTTCCCAAAGTTCTCAATGACTACACATGCAGAAAAGACACGTGAAGCAGGATAACCTAAAATAAGGCCTGTATTCTCAACACAGGAATGTGTGATACCTTTACTTGGATAAATATGAATTGCAAAATTTAAATTTTAAGTTGGCTTGTAAACACAGCATTCCCAAGCACAGCATTTTATCTAGAAAGAGTATTCACTATTAAATCACCAACTAATTCCTGAAAGGATGTTCCCGCATGCCTCCTTATCAAAGTAAAGATCGCTGTTTAGGCTGTGAAGTATGATGCAACAGTTTGGCATTTTATGGAAAAGAAATGAGCTCCTTCCCTCTGTTCACTGTCCCTCAATCTGAACACACACAAGTCAAAATGCAAACATTATTAAGATGATTTTTACTGACAAGAGCAGCCAGAGCTACTCTTCATCCCACAGACACTATACATTACACAATGTTTGCCTGAGTTTAAGAAAATGGTATCAACTCTTTGGTTCATTTACGCAGTGAAAGTCTCCTTCCACCATCACCGATTTCATTTTAAGTAACAGGAAAGGCCCTTATTTGGGCAGAAGAGTGCCGAGGTTGCGGTTTCACTGCACCACTACACTGCTGCACATCAATGTGGTCCCATCGCCATCTTCAAGATGTCACGTTCCACGCGACAGATTCCTTGATCCCTATGCTTATTCCACAGAACTTTATGAGTTGTGCTTTCATTAACTACTATTAAATGTTTTTAGTAATTAAGTTCTCTAAACAGAGGGAAAATACTAAACATATTAGTAACTACAGGACTCTCTCAATGTGACATCAACACTCACAGGAGAGGGTTTCTTCCTCATCTCAAAGGTCCGGGTAGCACCAAAGCTGAGCGAGGCAATGACAGGATTTTTTCCCAGTGATGGTTCATCGTCACTGTGCCAGTCCACGCTATCCTTCTCATTTCGGTAGAGGTTGCAGAGAAGAGAGTTGAAGGTATAGCCAGTGAACTCTTCAATGCGCTCCTTTAGCATGGTCAGCAGAGGATGCCACTGTAATCAGCACAGCAGGAACAGGGTAAAGACAAGGAAAGCAGACCAGCAGCAGATAACATCAAGACACAAGGGGAAAACCTCTAAGAAACAAAATATACTGCACTTTAGTCACAATAAACTTGAAATCAAACAAATGCCTCTGAACAATTCTGATTGTATTTTTAGTAAAGCTGAGGAACGGGCTTTCTGTGAAATATGCATATGTTACCTATCGCTCAATACTGAATCATCTCTTAAAACTATGAAGCCAGTCTGCCTTTCCTACTAATGTAGCCAGCCACCCCAATTAACTGAAAGGTGAGAAAGTAGACAGAGGAAAATCTGCTTGTACTGACCACGGATAAACATTGCGAGTTCTTAACTAAGACAAAAAGTGGGCAACTTCTCCCATGCACACCTGTTTTTTTAACCTCCTGGCCAAGCTAGAGGAGTTTAACACAGGACTCTGATAACATCTGAGTTACTTGGCCATTGCTGGTGGGCATAGAGCATCCAGAAAGTTGCAACCAGTGAGTAAATGACATGCTCTCAATTGCCTGCAGCTGTTGACACAGCACAAGAGACAACAGTTGGCCTAACACTGTCACAGCGTGGCCCTCTGTCCCCACTCTGTTAGCACAGCTTGTTGAGCCCAACTCATCACCTCTTGGGGTTTTTGACTTCGACATTGTAACTTTTCAGTGGTTCACAAAACCAGTGTCACAGGCCCTGAATTTCATCTTTCCCTTTGCTAACATCTTGCTGAGCCCATAGCCCACGGCAGCTCTGCACATTCCATTACAACTCAGTCCAGTGAATCATTATTTAATGTTATAAACTTACATCATGACTTTCATCTGTCAGAGTACTTTTAAGTACTATGCAAGTTTAAAAAAAGAAAGCCAAAGCAATGTAGGCCAGAATTTTTGCCCGTTGTATAAGCAGAAACACAGATCAAGAGAGGATAAAGGCCTGATTCCAAACCTTCCAGTGTATCACTGGCAGAAGGAGGAACACAG